CCCCCCCCCCCCCCCGTGTGTGTGTGTGTGTGTGTACTCTGTAAATTACAGAGGCAGGCATATCTCTTAAGTTTGAGGCCAGCCTGGTCTACATAGAGAGTTCTGGGATAGCAAAGAGTGAAGGTAGGTTAGGAGGCAGTCTACTTTAATGCTGCTTCTCCATGGCAACAATTGTGTGCAACTTGATTTACAGCAGGTAGCCAGTCAGAACCTCACCTCTCATTTGTAATTGAAGGCTGTGGGCCTGTTGCTTGTCCCCAGAGCTGAGAGAGCTGAGAGACACCTGAGCTTATCTATGAGAAGCACTCACTGCAAAGCGATAGTTTAAGTCTTTGAACAGCAAAGGCCAAGTTAGGAAAAGCTATTTGGGTGAAAATCTTCTGAGGTGATATAGCTATGTCCCACTTCAGTTATAGGAGGGCATATCTTTCCCACAGAAGACAAGTCTTGTGTGTGTTTTAAATGAGTGCAGCATTTTCTTAGTGGACATCTTGATCTTACAGGGACACATTCTGTTCAGTAATGAACATGAGATGTTGATTCTCAGTTTTCTTGTTCTGCAGACCAACATCAGCTGAGCTGTTAAGACTTAGTTGGTTGCTTGATAATAATGTTTTTTTAATTATCATTTTGACATTGTCTTTTGAAAATGGTGTGATTCTTTTCAGTTGTAGGACTTGCATATTTTTTTTCAGAAAAAGTTATAGTAAAAAGTGTGCCAGCTACTATCTACACCAAGGCATCATTTAAGTCTAAATTAATTTACTATATATTAACTTACTATTTTAGAAAAAAAATGGAAGAACATGGTTTAAGTAGCATCAGAATTTTGTGATTTTGCAAGTTTACATGGCTTGGATCTAGAGTAAGGGAAGGTGGCCAGTGACTTACTGTAGGTGTCTCAGAAATAAAATTAGGTCTTAGGACATAAGTTGTGGATAATACTAAGACTACTAAGACATAAAACTGGCTAGAAGAACTTATTCTGACATTTTCCTTGTAGTGAGCAAGGCTTCCAGAAGTGGAGGACACAGTGAGCACCTTGCTCAACATTTAATCTGATTTCCTGGTAGTCCAATGTGGGCTGTAGTGAGCTTCTCCAAACCCTCGGTTTTACTAAAGCAGGGTCATTTGCTGTCCAAAATAATTAAGCAGCAAATTACAAACCAGCCATTGGGGCACGTAACCTATACTTCTAGAACTTAGGAAGTAGAGACTAAAGGATTGATCAGTTTGGGGGCCCCATCTTCACCAGCATAGCAGGTTCTGGCTTTGCCTGGGCTATTCGAGGCCCTGTCTCAACAAAAAGAAAGGAAACAGACGAAAAGAGGACAGATGGGGGCTGTAGTTCAGTAGGTGGATGCTCACCTAGTGTGAGCCTCAGCACTATAGAATGGGCATGGCAGTGTATCTCAGGGAAGGAAGTGTAATCTCAGGGAGAGGCAGCAAAAATAGAATAAATCTAAGGCCATCTGGGGATATATGAAACTGTCTTTAAATTCCAGAAATAGATCTCACTCACATGACTTGCAATAACTGTTATTCTACCTATATTATATATTAACTTTATCATAGAAAGAAGTGTGGGATTGGTAGGGATTGGTACTGTTTGATTTCAGACATGCACTAAAGTGTCTTAGAACATAAGGGGGGGCATTCTGTGCACAGAAATACAATAGAGCCCTCAAGCCCAGGCATGGTAGCACATTTAATCCTGGGAGGGACAGGTGGATCTCTGAGTTCAAGACTAACCTGGTCTGCAGAGCAAGTTCTGGGACAACCAGGGCCACACAGAGAAACCCTGCCTCAAATGAATGAGTGAGTGAATGTACGAACAAACAGACAAACAGATGAAAGAAATGACCAACCCTCACTGACTTTTTCATTCCCCCTAGGGAAAGGTAATTACTGGACTCTGGATCCAAACTGTGAGAAAATGTTCGACAACGGGAACTTCCGTCGAAAGCGAAGGCGCCGTGCTGAGGCCACCAGCAACCTTACCGTGCCTTCGGGGACATCCAAATCAGAAGGACAGCCCTCAAGACTAAGAGTGAGTGGGAAGCTAGAAGGAGACAGCCCCTCCTCTATGCTGAGGCCATCTCAGTCACCAGAGCCTCCGGAGGGCACCAAGAGCACTGCCTCCTCTCCTGGAGCGTCCACCCTCACCTCCACGCCATGCCTCAACACTTTCCTCAGCAGCTTCAACACCTTAAGTGTCAACTCCAGCAGCATGAGCACCCAGAGAACCCTCCCAGGCAGTCGCCGCCAACTAGGAGGGACCCAGCTGCCCTCCAGCACATTCCCTAACTCCTCGGTTCCAGACAGCTCTCCAGACTCCCTGCAGCTGAGCACTGTGGGTGGAAGCAACCAGCTGTCTTCCTACTACAGCCCTTTCTCTGGCGGCAGCAGTGGGGACCAGAGTAGCCCCTTCAGTAGCCCTTTCTACAACTTCAGCATGGTCAACAGCCTCATCTACCCCCGGGATGGCTCTGATATATAGACACTGCTCCTCAGACATGATGAAACGTACACTTGAGATGTACCTATCTCCCACACAGAATCACTAACTATCAACCGTTTTCAGAAATCTGCTTAGCATCTTGGAAAGGGGACTTACTGTGCAGAGAATTAATTGGGCTGAGACATTTCCAGATAGAGAACAACTTTGTGATCTGGACTGCATACATTTGAGCTTGCTGCTCTGATTTACAAGTGAATAATAAAGACAGTCCTCACAGAGTTCTACCTACCATCCCAGGACTGAGTAAGGTGCCTTTTTTTCCCTCCAGAGAGACACAACCAGAGAAACCTGGAAAAGCTTGCTGGCGTGTAAGAACTACATGGTTACTGTGAGCATAGTCAGTAGACTGTAAGATTATGTAGGAGTTGGCAGAAGAAATCAATGCAGAAGCTTACTGAACCTATCAGATCTGAACCCATTCAAAGTGGATTGTCTCAATCTATTTAATTCTGCACAGGAAGTCCCCTTTCCAAGATACTTAGTGGGTTTCTGAAACTGTTGATAATACCAAACTCTGTGAGAGACAGGAATGGCTATCCTGAAGTGGTAGGTAACATGCCAAGGTCACACATGGAAAACTGAGTTCTTAAACATGCCAGCTTCATGATAGACAAAGTAAACATGGGATAAGGCCTGGATGCCATAGTTCCAGTGATAAACCTGCTTTCCTGCCTGATTTAGTTTATGTCCTAGGTGTTCCACTGAAAGTGAAATCTTGCAGGTTTTTTGTTTTTCACTTTTGAGACAAGGTCTCTACATAGCCCTGGCTGTCTTAGAACTGACTATGTAGATCACGCTGGCCTTGAAACCCAGTTATGCCTCCTGATTGACTATCACACCTGGACCAACCAACCTTACAATTTTTAATGAGAAATTATATACATATGGTCAAATTCTCTTAAGCCATATGTATATACATTTGTTTCAGCACCACCACTCCCTTCTACTTTGAAGTAACTTCATTTGAACCATTTTGTAGTGGGAAGAGTCTAGCACATCATCATACGGGAAACACTTGGTCAGCATCATTTGAACTCATGCAAAGATTTCTAACGAGCAGAAAGGTTGGATTTATAGAAACAGCCCTAAACACTAAAATGAAGGTATTCTATAAGCTCCCATGCTACCGTGTTCTTGAGGTGTTGCCATGAGACAAGAACCACATTGGGGTGGGGGTGGGGTAGGGAGTATCCTTGTGGTTTTGTTTTGTTTTAAGACAGGGTTTCAAGTCTCCTGTATATTAGAACTCTTAGTATTAGTTTAATAATTTTTTTAGAAATATATGAAAAATTGTAATGCCTTCTTGATGTACAAATTGCAATCACCGTTGCTTATTAACTGTTATGCAAAAAGATAACCAAAGAAACTACCTGGCCTCCTATTTTGTGCATAAAACTTTTTCTGAATATTTTTGTATGTGAAGAATCAAGGACTTCTATGGATATTTCTAACACAATTCTATATTTGTAAATTAATTTATAATGTCTGCTGGAGCTATAAAGATTTTTTTCTTTTCTAAGAGAGTATTCTGCGTGCTAAGAATAAACTCTTCATAGAATGACTCCCGGCTTTGCATCTGTGCTTTTTGGACCTCAGTGTCTTTGAAGGAACAGAAATGGATGACATGGCACTCCCCACCCCCGCCCCCAGGGACTGTACTGAGAGTCATTGACGGTGCACGTTGGATTTGTTCCACCTATTCCTAGGTGAATAGAATAAAATAAAAGAGTAACTAGAATAGAAGCTACTCTTCACCAAGTGTTTGGGACGTGAGTGTTGGGTTGATTTCTAATTCTTTACCAGTTCTGTTAGAAGCTAAATTCGAGCTGGGATGGGCCTCAGTAGTAGAGTGCTTGCCCAGCCTTCCTAGGATAAGATTCTAATCGGGTAGAGGACAAACCAAGGTGAGTTTCAGTGCACAATCATCTGAAGAAAGCTACACTCTGAGGTTGCCCTCACTGGGAACTCTGCAGAGTGAACATTGTCTTGGGGAGGAGGGAGGAAGAAGCCTCAGGCAGCCCATTCCAAGGCTGGAGCTATAAATTTGAACATGGCCCCATCCAGAAAGTTTATAGACTGTCCTGTGCTATCATAGGATGCCTATTAAATGCCGGAAGCATACCCACACAGTTGAAATACCCTATGCAAGGTGGTCACATGGGGTCATATTAACTCAGGTAAGAACATTTTACCCTAAATTTTCCTAAGGGAATCAAGTGTGAGGATGAGTTGGGTGAAACAAAAACTGGATCAAACTGTATTAGAAAATACTCGATCTGGGTGCTTGATTGATATTAGACACAGGGATAGTAACATTGTGAGGAACTATTGAGGGGTCTGTAAAGTGGCTGAGACCCAGCATGAAATACACCAGGGCAAAGCTACCTGGGCCTGGATGATTCCAGGTCAAAGTTCACCCCCAGTTGCTGCAGACTTAGCACCTGTGATGTCCTCTGCCTTGGGAACCATGTCAGAAAATTTGGAATTGGACTAGACCATACTTTGGGTTGCTTACAACGGTGCCACAAACAAAATGCCCTATAATACAGAGCTGGGGTTCCTGGGAAGTAGGGACTGAGGTTAATGTGTGTCAGCTTTCCAAGGCCTGGTGTGCCCTTTGAAATACAGCAAGGCAGGAGAATTTGAGGGCCTAATAGGCCAGTTTTACATTTCCACCTCTGCATATGTATTATAGCTTGGATTTGGGAAATAGTCTTTGAAGCCCAGGCTGGCCTTCAGACTCACTTTGTAGCAGAGGCTGACTCTGAATTTTGTTCATCCATTTTCTAAGTGCTGTGTCGTCCATCTTGACGTTTAAAAATCTTCTATAGATCTTGAACTTCCTGAAAAAGGCAACCTAGGAGGCTTTGAAAGCATCAATGCAGCCCAACCCCCCTTGGTGGCCAACTGAGCTCCCAAATCCCTCCCAAGGCAAACCCAGGCAGGCTGAGAACACAAAAGGCTGCCTGAACTTCAGAGGAGACTCCCAGGGCCCTCTTGGCCTTAAGAGGGTTTGAAAGCACCTGTCTTTAGGGTCTGGGTGGCTTTTGTCTTTTTCCTACTGTTTTCAGGGCTTAAACCTTGAGGTCATTAATGAGAAAGAAACCCCTGATGCTCTCTCGGTGCAGGAGGGTGGCTGGCCTCTAGGCAAGGGTCCTGCCTTTGCCTTTGTCATGAAAAGCTGTCAGCTGGGGCTTGAGGTTAGGTAGGGTTAGGTGGCTGGCACAGCTGAGAAAAGGAATTTCCCAACAGATTTGGGAACAAAACACAAAAAGGCCCGAACACACTAGTTCCCTACTGAATTCCTCTCCAGGACACCTAAAGAACAGTTCTTTATCATGTTAAAAAAGGTAAGCGTCCACAGAGAGTGAACTATCAACCAAAGAGCATGCGTGGGCTGGACCCAGAGCCCCTACACGTACATAGCAGAAGTACAGCATGATCTCCATGTGGGTCACCGACCAAGTGGAGCAGGGGCTGTCTCTGACTGTTGTCTGCCTTTTCCCTAGCAGGGCTGCCTTGTCTGGCCTCATTGGAAGAGGCTGTGTCTAGTCCTGCTCCTGCGACTTGGTGTTCCAGGACCAGTTGGTACTCACAGTGGGGATCGGGCGGGGTGGGGGGGGGAGAATTCCCTTCTCAGAAGAGAAGGGGAGAGGGATAGGGTGTGAGGATGGGGCTAGAAGGAGAGGAGGAAGGGTGCTCTGCAATCGGAATATAAAGTGAGTAAGTAATTAAGGGGGAAAGGTGTCACTATTAATCCTCATGTAAGCTGCCAGGCATTGTCCAAAACACCTAAATGTGATTTCCCGCTCTTTCAGCCTCCTAACAATGAATTAGAGAGTTATTGCCCAGCCCGGGAGTTTCTATAACTGGGCCTGATCATTGATCTAAGTGGCGGCTTCAGTCAAGAGCTCAAACAAGGGTCCAAAATGAGGATATGGAGCTAGAGAGATGGCTCAGTAAGAATGTATACTGCTCTCGGAGAGAACTGAACATCCATAGGGGGCTCATAACTATCTGTAACACCTGTTCTAGCGGATCTGATGCACTTTTCTTGAGGCCACAATATTTATTTAGTGGCAGACGGAATATTGCAGGAATCTGAAGCCAACAGGACATATTGAAGTCGGGAGGCCCCAGAAAACATGTCACAGACATATTCTCAGTGGGATGCCTGCTATAATCTGTAAAATGGCAGGAGACTGAGGTGTGACCAGTCCCTAATTCAAACCTGACATTTTCCTGCTTAAAACCTTCTCGATGTATAAAAAGACTGTTCTCTCTCTCTCTCTCTCTCTCTCTCTCTCTCTCTCTCTCTCTCTCT